GGATTTGAACGGAACTGGGATGCACTAAGGCGCACCTCCCAATGCCAATAGGCCACCCACCGTGAGGTTGGGATGTGCTGCACCTGGAGTAAACACGGGTGATGTAGTGGGTGGGTCAGTAGAATTTCTGGACCATGGTGATAATATGTATATATATATATTGTTTATAATATACAATGTATCTGTCTAAATAAACAATATGGTGATATGGAATAATCTTAATTTAAAAAACATTCAAATTAAACATCCAGACCATATATATATATATAGATGATGTTCTTTCATAAAACCCAAATATAGTATAATATAGATTGTGTTGTTCCATCCATAAGTTCCACGGTATAAATTCCCAGATTTACCCTGATTTGGTCGATTGATTTTTATTACCAAACGGGGCCACCAGTGACCCCGGTGCACCTGGGGGAGCCATCGTTCAAAGTTGGCGGTTTTTGGTCAACGACAATGAATGACGTGCTCTAACTAATGCTGAATGGTTTGAATGATGTTTGAAACATTTTGAATGTTGATCATTGGTGTAGTATGGTGTAGTGGTACCTCTTGAATTCTCTGCAGCGTGCATGAAGCAGAAATCGAAGCTCTGCAAGTCGAAACAGTGTGCGGCAAGCGACATTTGGTGACATGTTCAGCGCAGGTTGCTGGAAACGAGGAACAAATGCGGAATCATACGGGGCTTGCCAAATGCGAAATAAGTTGTTCATATGGAAAATGTGGGAAAGCGTTATAAACCATTGGATTTACCTAAGGGTACCCTGCTTTCACATCACACAAACCAATATTCAAATATCATCACCCTATTGACTACACAATTGAGTTTTGAAGTTTGTAAAAAAAAAGTAAAAAACATGAATGATTCCAGACATATTAAATATGTACAATTTGGGGGCACCCCATCTGGCATCTTAGAATCTAGGCAACCGATCATCGCAAATATGAACAGGAAATGCTGCCGGCATGGACGGTTCTGACGTAGAAACGGGCGGGACAGACATGTCAAAGCAACAAAATTATAAAAGCACAACCCGCCAAGTTAATATAGACCCTGCCAACTCAAATCTCAGGGCCAGTTCTTAAGGCGCAATCCTCAAGGCACAATGGCCAGTCTTAAGGCGCAAGGGCCAGTCTTAAGGCGCAATGGCCAGTCTCAAGGCGCATGGGCCAGTCTTAAGGCGCAAAGGCCAGTCTTAAGGCGCAAGGGCCAGTCTCAAGGCGCAAGGGCCAGTCTTAAGGCGCAAGGGCCAGTCTAAAGGCGCAAGGGCCAGTCTAAAGGCGCAAGGGCCAGTCTTAAGGCACGAGGGCAAGTCTTAAGGCACGAGGGCCAGTCTTAAGGCACGAGGGCCAGTCTGAAGGCACGAGGGCCAATCTTAAGGCACGAGGGCCAGTCTTAAGGCACGAGGGCCAGTCTTAAGGCACGAGGGCCAGTGTTGAGGCGAAAAGGGCAGTCTTAGGGCCAATCTTCATGGGCCAGTCTTAAGGCACGAGGCCAGTCTTAAGGCACGAGGGCCAGTCTTAAGGCACGAGGGCCAGTCTTAAGGCACGAGGGCCAGTCTGAAGGCACGAGGGCCAATCTTAAGGCACGAGGGCCAGTCTTAAGGCACGAGGGCCAGTCTTAAGGCACGAGGGCCAGTCTTAAGGCACGAGGGCCAGTCTTAAGGCACGAGGGCCAGTCTTAAGGCACGAGGGCCAATCTTAAGGCACGAGGGCCAGTCTTAAGGCACGAGGGCCAGTCTTAAGGCACGAGGGCCAGTCTTAAGGCACGAGGGCCAGTCTTAAGGCACGAGGGCCAGTCTTGAGGCCGTCTTAAGGCACGAGGGCCAGTCTTAAGGCACGAGGGCCAGTCTTAAGGCACGAGGGCCAGTGTTGAGGCGAAAAGGGCCAGTCTTAAGGCGCAAGGGCCAGTCTTAAGGCACGAGGGCCAGTGTTGAGGCGAAAAGGGCCAGTCTTAAGGCGCAAGGGCCAGTCTTAAGGCACGAGGGCCAGTGTTGAGGCGAAAAGGGCCAGTCTTAAGGCGCAAGGGCCAGTCTTAAGGCACGAGGGCCAGTGTTGAGGCGAAAAGGGCCAGTCTTAAGGCGCAAGGGCCAGTTTTCTAGCATCTCGGCAATCCCAACCGGTTCATCGTGTCACATGTGGGTACAACAGCACAAGCAATGGGTGGAAACAACCCATCACTAGGGCTGGTCAGGCCAGGATGAAAACGACGAAGATCCAAAACCAATCAGCATTTAAGATTAAACCCGCGGGTGGCCATAACATACTACTAGAACTAAACATCTTTAAAACAAAGATGTAATGTGTTCTATTTATCTCAGTTATTTGCCTATTCTTGCGGATTTCCACGTGCAGCACAGGCTAGAATGATGACTACTTATGACTTTGCTTGTTCACTTTTTTAGTGCTGATTGGTCTGATACCGTTCCCTTCTGTTCACATCAAAACAGCTGGTAATTTGATATTCATAATTTTGGATGATGTGCGAAACGAACTCATATTATGGTGATAATGATCATGATCATCATGATCATCATGGTCATAATGATCATGATCATATACAAACGAACTCATACTTCACATCTAAGACCATCAGAATTGATTTATGTCATGTTCTTTGATGAACCCATGAACATTTCAAAGTGTCTGAAATGTGATTTCAGATACTCTTGATGGTTTAGCCATGTGTAGCCAGTATTGACAATCACCTGCAAAGCTTTATAATTTGAACTTTTACAGACTTTGAACTTTGATAGAAACCGGAAGCCAATTACATGGAGCTCTGAAAAGACTCATAGCTGGAGATTGGCTTTTGGTAGTCTGATGGGGTAGGGACACTGCTTCCCAACATGGATCAGAACATTGCTGGCCACATGATCATTTGAACATCTTTGAACATGGGACCCCAAGACTACACACATGTTTGACCAGTCATTCTGTGAGAGAACTCTGACCCAAGCAAGCCAACAAAAAATACAAAATATTCCCTATAGATTCCCCAAGTAGTGGATTTCCCATGGGGAAAATAACAAATCACCTCAAACAAAGCCAAGGTGTTGCCGTGTCGACGACCATTTTCCATCATTTTCCGCCGTTCAACGTCCAGTCCTAATGGATTTCCGACGTTCAGCAGCTGCGCAGCAAAGCACCAGGTGGAAGAACGGCCGATTTGACGCTCGAAACGCTTGTGACTATGAAGCTATGATCCCACCTTAGGATGTTGTATCAAATAAGACCAGCTGTCAGCAGCTATGCAAAAACAACAAAAAAAACGAGTACCCAATTTTTTCAGCAGATTGTTAGTATGGAACTAACTTTGTCGTTCAACTTCACTTTGCACCAAGCTACGAGACGACATGGCGCAGGATGATGAAAGATTTGATCCCAGGCAGCCTTGAAAGACCTGGGGGACCACAGATTGGAAGGTCCTAAGTGTTAGATATTGTTACTGGTTGGTGGTATGCCTACCCCTCTGAAAAATATGAGTTCGTCAGTTGGGGTTACTATTCCCCATATATGAACCCAAGGACTTGACCCAAGGCCCCATCTGTTTTCAAAGAATCAGGGCATATTTACAGTGGCTGGTTGATATCCTATAGATACGAATCAAAAAATAATGGACATGTGAGAATGTTAAAGCAATAAACCACCCAGGATTGATGCTTTATATATACCATCCATTTATGGAAAAAAACATGGGGGATGGTGTATCCCATTGCTTTACTAACATTACTTGTTTTATATAGTTATATATGTTCCCATGGAAATATCCCATGAAACCCCAGACGTGGTGCAGCGCTACGTCCCGGGGGGGACCTGTTTCACAGTGTCCTTCAGGGAGACGCTGAGATGCGTGTCAGGATGTCTCCCAAAGAACGGTAGCCTTTGGTAAACCAAGCGTCTATAGATGGGCCATAAAGGTGCGTTGATTTAAGATTTACCTCAGCAGATTTCAACAGGATGATTTTACATAGCTATGTTAGTCCAGAGGGTAAACCCTCCTACAAATTGGATCCCAAAGTGGAAATGAACAGATCCATTACTCAAGTCGAGCAGAGCCCAGGAGGCCCCGTGCTTCGAAAAGCAGTTCTGATCCACTTCGAAACTGATTTTGAATTTCTGGAATTTCATGGTCTGCCATGACTTTTTCCTATTAGATTAGGTATCCCCATTTTTAGAGAAAAAAAACAGATGGTTGAAACTTGAGAAAGATATAGAAAGCACACTGATGGGATAATTTCGAAGTGTGCCTTTCTTCCTTCTCGGTCTTCTCACATCCCGACACGGAGGCACTAACTGCAGATCTTTCGTAGCGTGGCACCCGGTTTTATCGTTTTATCCAACGGAGTCCGACCATCCGAATTTTTGGAGGTCCAAAAAAATTGGACCTACTTTGATGGGCCATGGACGTTACTTATATAACCAGTTAGGAAATGGATCATAGCTGGGCTGGGATATAGTGGTTTAATGTGGTTTGTAACATTTTGTAACTCAGTAACTAAGCAGTTAGCTAATCACGAGCGGCTCATCTAAGGATCAATCCCAATGTCAATGCTTTGACTTCCTGCTCTTGTTGTAATCCTCATTTGTCTTGGAGATCATTATCGCTGTTGGTGAAAGAGAAAATCTTCACCTGGAAACCATATTTTTTCACAAATAGCTGGTTAGTTCTTCTCTATTTTTCCGAAAAAAACCAATCCGATGATAAACCAATCCGATTTTTCCATATTTTTCCCCAATAGCTGGTGAGTTGTCTGTTTTTCAAGCAATGTCATAAACCAGCCATATGGATTGATGGTTATCACCCATTGTCAGCATGGCATCTCGGGTCTCACGTCAAAGCACCGATCCCCTTCAGGGCGCTTCGGGGCATCAATTGCTTCTTAACACGCATCACCAATATTCATAAATATTTTAAGTGTATATGCATATATATAATTATATATATATTATACATGTATATATATATATATGTATAATATATATATATATTACGACATTATATTATATACACATCTTAGCCATGAACATCGAAGTCACTCCTTCTCCGTGAGGCCTGAGAGGTCCTGGTTTTCAGATTTGGGTGTCTTTTTTCGTCAGATGTTGGTCGTCAGATTTCGATGGATTCACATCTACCCGGCCTGCTAAACTAACAAAAAGCTACTGAAAATGGCCATTGAAATAGTGAGTTTTCCCATTAAAGATAGTGATTTTCCATAGTTATGTAAACGTTTACCAGAGGGTATCCATTTGAATATACGCTAGTAACCTGGTTGGTGGTTTGGTTTCAACCCCTCTGAAAAATGATGGAGTTAAAGTCAGTTGGGTTTCGGATGACATCCCATTTTTGGAAATGGAAAATAACATTCATGTTTGAAACCACCAACCAGTAAGTGCACATCATGGATTTATCTAACTGCAGAAAAAAAAAAGATGTGAATCACATCCATCCGTGGAAACCTCGGGGGCTGTGACAATGCAAAAATAGGGCCCTGTTATGAGGATGGGATTCATGATGAGGGCATTCTTCTTACAGGTACTATTCCCATTATCCAATTATTATATCATCTACATCTAAGTGAATCCTGATCCCAGTATATCCCATTAAATGACAAATGTAGCCATTTAAACCATGGTTAAGCCACCATCTGACTTAGGTATATACCCTGGGGTAAACTAACAGAGGATAATGGCCCATTAAGTTCGATGATGTGCATATTCAAAATGGTGATATTCCATTGCGATGTTACTTCACTGTAATTACCATCTGGTTATTTAACATAGCCATGGAAAATCACCATTTTTAATAGGTAAACCATCTATAAATGGGTCATTTTCCATGGCTATGTTAAATAACCAGAGGGTAACATGGCAAACAGAACGATAAACCATCCCCCAAAAAAATGTGTTTGGCATTGGGTATGTCGGTATGTCGCCTTGTAATGGGCTGAAGTCATGGTTGAATTGTATGGGATGGTTTATGGCATTGGGTTTACCAGGGTTTACCGCATATGGTCCAAATCATGTGTAATAAAAGGGATTTAACCAGCAACAATGTTAGGATTGATGGGAAGTAATGTTAATATTTGATATACTCTCTGGGAAATTTCATGGGATTGAATGGGAATTCATGGTGATTTAATGGAATATCCACCATTTTTATCCATTTTTCCTAGTTCACCCACCATTTCTCCGAGTTTTTCGAAGCACTTTCTGAACTTCGTAAGATTCCACGCAGCCACCCAGTCCGGCGTCGCCATGATGGTGTTCCGCCGCAGCATCCGTGCCGCCGTGGCTTGTGCGTCCTGGAATCAGTAAAAATTGCTGGAAAATTAATGAAAATAATGATCAACATCAACTGTTGACTAAATTCGGAAGTTGTTTTTTCGAAAATCTGAAAAAACATATATATATACATTAGGATGTTACTCTAAGACGTTTTCTTTATCCATTACTGTTCACGTAATTTTCCATTACTGCTCCCTTAACTGTTCCCTTGACTTTCCATTACTGCTCCCTTAACTTTCCATTACTGCTCCCTTAACTTTCCATTACTGTTCCCTTAACTTTCCATTACTGTTCCCTTAATTTTCCATTACTGCTCCCTTAGCTGTTCCCTTAACTGTCCATTACTGCTCCCTTAACTTTCCATTACTGCTCCCTTAACTTTCCATTGCTGTTCCCTTAATTTTCCATTACTGCTCCCTTAACTGTTCCCTTAACTTTCCATTACTGCTCCCTTAACTTTCCATTACTGCTCCCTTAACTTTCCATTGCTGTTCCCTTAATTTTCCATTACTGTTCCCTTAACTTGGGGCCCCTGGGGGCCAATTTGGAGGCCAATTTGGAGGCCAATTTGGAGGCCAATTTGGGGATTCGAAATCATGGATTTTTGGCGAATTTTGGACCCCCAAACGGACCCCAAAACCTCCATTACTGCTCCTGAACTGGGGGAGTTAAGGGAGCAGCGAGTTAAGGAAGCAGTAATGGTTTTTACAACCTAATTCGCATTACTGCTCCCTTAACTTTTTCCCTTAACTGGGGGGAGTTAAGGGAGCAGTAATGGGGCCCCTGGGGGCCAATTTGGAGGCCAATTTGGGGACTCGAAATCATTTCACCAAATTCGGCATAGCATTTTGGCTTTGGTAGCTTACGGTCCCAGACTTTGCCCTTGACTTGATGGAGAAAGTTAAGGGAGCAGTAATGCAGAAAATGGAGAAAGTTAAGGGAGCAGTAATGCAGAAAATGGAGAAAGTTAAGGGAGCAGTAATGCAGAAAATGGAGAAAGTTAAGGGAGCAGTAATGCAGAAAATGGAGAAAGTTAAGGGAGCAGCAATGCAGAAAATGGAGAAAGTTAAGGGAGCAGCAATGCAGAAAATGGAGAAAGTTAAGGGAGCAGTAATGCAGAAAATGGAGAAAGTTAAGGGAGCAGTAATGCAGAAAATGGGAGGCAGACATAGGCTCTAAAGAGACCCCTCAAAAACGTGCTAGAGCGACATGCTAATATATACAGTATATATATAACGGAATTTATAACTTGAGTTGCTGTTAAACTCATGCTTGCGCCCATTGAAACAACAATCTCTTGCAGAATTCCTCGCCCATATGCATCTCAATGCTGGCGCGGTGGAGGGTTGCTAGCTCCTCCTGGGAACGGGGCGGTCAGGTCATTGGGTACCAGGTCGCTGGAGAAAAAAAATGGATAGTTTCAATGGATAATTCATGATTTACATGATATATTCATTCATAATATGTCTATGCATATTGCATATATTATATATATATAACTATATAATCATAATAAATGACCAAACCTGTGGTTCTTCGGAGCCTGAAATTTCCAAATCTGGCAGTACAGAGATCCAGTGATTTCGTGAGATCTCTGAAAAAATGACATGCAAAATTGGTGAGGAAGCCGGGAAGCACATGCGGCTCGTGTTTAAAATACCCTCTGGTTATTTAACATAGCCATGGGAAATGACCCATTTATAGATGGTTTACCTGTTAAAAATGGTGATTTTCCATGGCTATGTTAAATAACCAGATGGTATATGTAGGTGTTTGGAAAAACCATGATCATTGGTGTTATATCATGGAGTTATATCCCCAAAAATATGATCATGGTGTTATATCCCAAAAATTCTTGGAGTGCCCATGCTCTTTGGGTCATATAAATCTCCATCATAGCTGGATCTCAAAATCCTGGGGTGAACCATCGAAAACAAATCTCCAATCATCAAGACCCTGGGTCTTATCAAATTGTTTTTTGTTGCCACATTTTACGGAAACCAAAAATATCCAAAAATGATACCCTCTGGTAAATTTAGATAACTATTGAAAATGGCCAGTCGAAATAATGGATTTACCCATTAATAGCATGGTGGATCTTTCCATCGTTTTTTGTATGTTTACCAGAGGGTATCTGATATCATCATCATTTTTTGGACACAATGGTTATCACCAGCAACCACCTTCTTGGAAACGGCGGCCTCGGTCACTGCGAAGCTCTTCCGTTGCGCACGCATCTCCTTCCCAAGCCTCAGGTGTCCCCAGAGGGCTGAATCTGGATTGAAAAACGACCTCACAAAGCGACCCCTGGAATGATAATGAGTATATAAGGGGAATTACCCTCTGGTAAACATACAAAAAACTATGGAAAGATCCAACATTTTCAATGGGTAAATCAAATATAAATGGCCATTTTCAATAGCTATGTTAATTTACCAGAGGGTATCCCAAAATAGTTTTCGTTCAGGTTTGTGAATTTATGATAATTTACCCAGATGAATGGGGATGGTATCTGCATATTTGGGTCACCGTGCTAAAATACCTAGCCACTTGTATTTGTATGACTATCATTGAGTGTTCCCTCTGGTAATAAAACGTGGCTGGCTGGGCAATCCCATCAAAAGGGAGGTAAATATCCCATTGATATCCCATGATTTTCCCATAAATATCCTATAAATATCCCATAATTCTCATTAAAACCCATATAATCCCATATATATATAATTATATATATAATTATATATATAATCTATCCCATATAGTATATGCCATATAAATCCCACATAAATGCCCGTAAAGAGAGATGGCCCAAATACCTTCGCCTGCACTGCGGGACACGCTGCACGCGCTGGCGCCGGGGGGCTGTTTGTACACGAACTGATGCACCTTGATGGCAAAGGCTGTCATCTCTTCCACGTTCAGCCCCTCGAAGGCAACGTCTGATGAGGGGGTTGGATATTTCATGGGATATGACATGGGGGCTCCCCGTCAAGATAGAGAGTTTATGATTTTGTTTTAAGGAATTAACTAAGCAACAATAAATACACACATATACATATATACATTATTATATAAAATTATATATACAAATACAGACATAGGGTTTGGATATGTCTGAAAATCGGGTGTACCCTCCAGCTATGGCCATGAAGTAATGAGGAGTTCCTGAAGCTGGAGACGAATCTCAAGTTGGGTCTTTCCAAAATGGGGATGGCCCAAGTTCTGGTGGCCCCCAGGTTCTGGTTGAATGGTCAAGAGATGATAGAGTAGACATTGGCTTTTGACCTCATTTTCAGGCAAACCCACAAGAATATACAAGAATCCCATAGAAAATCCACTAAAACCGCAAATTCATCGCCCGTCGAATTCCTTTTTTGGCGTGAAACTTTGGGAAGGGTCCTCAACTTTGCGTGTTATCACTCTGTCATGTGGCGAACCCAATGCCTAGTAGAGTCGGAAGTGGTAAACAGCATAGGGGTTACTACAGGGTTCCCAACATCCCTATTTTTTGGGGTAGAGATCAAGACGCAAAATGACCAGTCTTGTGACTATTAGTGACTATCATTGACCAAGAATGGGTTGGAGAAACCCTGTGCTGGGGTCTAAAACTAGGCTCCCCACGATTCCATTGGTTCCCTTAGCACTTTCCAGATGAATATGGCCAGAACTGGAGGGCAAAAACCATGGTATACCCTACTTTCAGACACATCCAAACCATACATAAACTCTCTATGTTTAGTTATATCCCATAAAAAAACATCCAGAGTCGAACTCCCCATCAAATGATGGCTCAAAATTTCAAAAATCTCCCATGAGCTCCATAGCAAATTCCGCACCTTGTCATCTGTGTCATCATGATAACCATCGTTCTCAGTTTTCACCTGCTGAATCCACGTGGAGGTGGCTCTAAACCATTGAAAACAGCAGAACGTCCACAAGTTGGATCAAGTTTAAATCTGAAAAAAACTGGCGACAAAAAATGAAACTTGATGAATGTCACTATGAAGTCACTCTCGCAACTTAGACACCACCACCAGATTTGCAAAGTGGGTGTATGATGGGTTGAATTCGTTCCAGTTTCCGTTATTTCCATTATTTCGGGGCATTCTTGGACTTTGGTTCCACACCCAGAAACTCCAGTGAAACCCCAAAAAATGGCACGTCAATCCCTTACCTGTAACAATAAATCTCGTGAACAACCTGCCCAGTTTCCCTGCTGAGAAATTCGGATTCAATTTGGGGTCCCATATAAAGAATGCCTATAGGCCACCATATAATGGCCTATCATTTTAAGTATCACATTATGCATGATTATATACATATATGTGTGTATGTGTGTATGTATGTATGTATGTATGTATGTATGTATGTATGTATGTATGTATGTATGTATGTATGTATGTATGTATGTATGTATGTATGTATGTATGTATGTATGTATGTATGTATGTATGTATGTATGTATGTATGTATGTATGTATGTATGTGATTCTATATATGATTCTATATATGATTCTATATATGATTCTATATGTGTCTGTCTGTCTGTCTGTCGGTCGGTCGGTCTGTCTGTCTTATGACATATGGTTTAACCCCCCGGCTTGTATCATGTCATAAGGTTATCCTGTAATGAACCCATTGACGATTGTCCGTGTGCCCAGAGCTTTAGTACCAAAAGGTCTGCTAAGAACCCAGCAACAACCACTGGAGACCAAGCTAGGCTGGGGTTAACTGCTAGCCCCGCCATAATTAAATTTCATGAATGATATCACCATGACATTTTTGGTTGACTACCCTCCAGTAAACCAACATAACTATGGAAACTCCACCCATTGTTAATAGGTAAATTATGAAACTAAATGGGTCATTTTCCAAGGCAAACTGTTAGTCATTACCAGAGGGTAACCCCTTGGATGACATCTTGGACCCCTTGGATAATTTAGATTAGCTGTATGTATGTATGTATGTATGTATGTATGTGTATGTATGTGTATGTATGTGTATGTATGTGTATGTATGTGTATGTATGTGTATGTATGTGTATGTATGTGTATGTATGTGTATGTATGTGTATGTATGTGAATGTATGTGTATGTATGTGTATGTATGTGTATGTATGTGTATGTATGTGTATGTATGTGTATGTTTGTGTATGTATGTGTATGTATGTGTATGTATGTGTATGTATGTGTATGTATGTGTATGTATGTGTATGTATGTGTATGTATGTGTATGTATGTGTATGTATGTATATGTATGTATATGTATGTATATGTATGTACATGTATGTATATGTATGTATATGTATGTATATGTATGTATATGTATGTATATGTATGTATATGTATGTACATGTATGTACATGTATGTATATGTATGTATATGTATGTATATGTATGTATATGTATGTGTATGTATGTGTATGTATGTGTATGTATGTGTATGTATGTGTATGTATGTGTATGTATGTGTATGTATGTGTATGTGTGTGTATGTATGTGTATGTATGTGTATGTATGTGTATGTATGTGTATGTATGTGTATGTATGTATGTATGTATGTATATGTATGTATATGTATGTATGTATGTATATGTATGTATATGTATGTATATGTATGTATATGTATGTATATGTATGTATGTATGTATGTATGTATGTATGTATGTATGTATGTATGTGTGTATGTATGTGTGTATGTGTGTATGTGTGTGTGTATCTGTTTGTGTATCTGTGTGTGTATCTGTGTGTGTATCTTTGTGTGTATCTGTGTGTGTATCTGCGTGTGTATCTGTGTGTATCTGTGTGTGTATCTGTGTGTGTATCTGTGTGTGTGTATCTGTGTGTGTATGTGTGTATGTGTATGTGTATGTATATATGTAAATGGAATTATATATAATAACATGCATATTTATTATAATAGCATAAAGTCCCATGATATTCCCATTTGGTGAAATTTCCCCGCTGTAACATCCCATTGGTTACACTGGTCCACAAGAAAATCCACGTTTCCGCCTGGTCATAGAGACTCTGAAAGGGCGCGTTGGGAATCTTCGGTGGCGGTTGCTTGTGCAGCCAAAAGAACTCCTGACGGCGGCGCAAAACCATGGGAATGAGGATCAGATAACAAACAATGGAAAATGGAACATTCAAAAAACATTGTTGATGTTGGTTGGTTTTCATAGATGGGTTTTCCTGGGGATAAGCCAAGAATTATGATGATAGTATATGTGTATTGATATATATATATACACATGATATGTATTGATATGTACATATATATATATATGTGTATTGATATCTCTATATATATATGTGTGTGTATTGGTATATATATATATGCGTGTATTGACATACATATATATATATATACATATGTGTATTGATGTATATATAATATATATTGATATTGATATGTATATATTATATACGTATCCCATCATATACACCCGTGATGAATTATGATTTCGCCCGTGACCCACGCCTGGAAACCACCCCAACATCCTGCCCCATAACTCCTCCAGGAACTTTTTGGCTTCTCCGGAGGCCCAATCGATTCGACCTGGCACCAGTGCATGGTCGTTTTCCAGGAAGGGGCCCCCAAAATGATGTGAAAATCTTGGGACTTAACGAAATATGAGGGAAGATGGAGTTTCAACCAATGAAAATTATGGGATTTGAAATCATAATCATATTTTTGGATGGGTTGAAACCTACAATTGTCCATAGTGGGGATGAACATCCGAATAAACCACTTACAGTAGGGGGAGAACAGCAGGGCACCAGGCTGAACTGACCGCCACAGGAGAGTGATATCGGATAATGAGTGAAGCCCGCATGAAAGTTAACAGACTGGTGATCGAGGGTTTGTTAAGCCAGGTTTGACTTATTCTAGATAGACTTATATAATATATTACAATATATATATATATATACATTATATCATTATATTTCATGATATATCATCATAGCATCCAAAAATCAAAGGTCAGCTTCAGGAGTGAAATGTCCAGGGATCATACAACAGCAATCTCGAAAAAGATTTGCCGACGAAAAGTGAGCCATCAATTACCCCTCTGAAAAATATGAAAGTCAGTTGGGATTATTATTCCATATACTATGGAAAATAAATGTTCCAAACCAGTTTCACTATGGGCTATGATCATCGCCAATAACCCAGTATAACTCCCTATAACAACCAAGTAACCAGTCTGAGTTCCCAGTTGCACCCCCTCGCCTGTCCTATCCTTGTCGTGTTTCGGAAAGAGCTTGCGGGTGACCCTGGCCTTATTGTCACCCCTGGAGACCATTGGAAAAGGGCTGGATGTACCTTGTGGAGGTTTGGGAAGCCTCTAATGAACGCAAGGATTCGAACTTTTCGGATTGATATGATCAAATGGATTCAAATGGTAACAAACAGAAAAGAACAACAATCGAAGTTATTGGGATGTGGGTCTCCTGATGTCTCCTGTGGTTATACAAGGAGCAATGAGCTAATGCCTCCATCAATCACTGGACATCGTGCGAAGGCCGCGTCGATTTGAACCCCCCAAACACGTCGTCTTTGATGGGCCATGGAGTTAGTTAACCAGTCAATAAATCTGGGTAAATCATAATATTTCACTAACCTGAAATAAGGCTATGTTGGGGATGATTCCCCTTACTAACCATTATTCCCCGTGAGGGAGAACAGTGAGGTCGTTATAATTTACCCAGATAAATGGAATATAATTGGGATGCAATGGTTTTGATCCAGCTACTGACCTTTTTTTGTTAATCCCATGGCTCATCTAAATACCCCAGGGCTTTTCCACGCAAGTCTTCGAGTTCAAGTCTTCAAATTCAAATCTGCCAGGCTCTTCTCAGTCTTCAAGAATCTTAGATATCGTTGGGTTTGCAAGTATAAGATCAGGTTTGTTACGCTATTTATGGGAGAAAGCCAAAAATTTGGACCAAAGTGAGCATGATGTTAAATATCCGCTTAAAGATGCTTGCATATAAAATGCATGACCATAGTCTACCCTCCTGTAAACGAACATAGATGCGGGTTGAACCCACCATGTCTACGTTTTCCGAATGGAAAACCAGATGTTTTTCCACCTCAGGAGCAGATTACCCAAGGGTTGGAGGTTTCCATAAATGTAGCTACCCCTATGGAAATGGATGGTGTTTTTCATGGACAAAAATCCTCTGGAAATCCTTTGGTCCAATGGATGAGAAATATGGGGGTCCCCCGGGTCCCGTAGCCGAAACCGTCATGGCCGGGCTTCCACATGCTCTGGATCCCACAAGTCTTCTTCGCTGTAGCTCTCGAGCTCAGACCTGTGCTCCAAGGGAATGATCTACAAATGCTGAGTGAAAACCACATCGAACTGGTAGTTTACAGGAGGTATATAAATAATGTTGGGCTTCGGTTTGGGCTTTTCATTCGTTATGACAAACATGAAAAAACGATAGTTCTGTTCATGGATGGGGTTAGGCACAAGAAACTGCGAACCCCATATGTTTCAATATTCGAGTGCTTCCCACAATCAATCCGTTTTCTGCAATATTGTCTTTCATAATTCCCAAATTGGCCAGAATTCATCAAAATTGGCTACGATTTATGTCACTCACCACATTATCAGGATTTCAAGGGGAGGCCGGGAGGCCAACAAATAAGGTCCCAAAAACAAAGAGGTACACACCCTAAACAAAAAACAATGATTCATGATAAATGTTACAAAGCAATACACAGCATAGACTTGAAGGAAGCCCTGCAAAAAAATGGCCAACAAATTTCTCATCTTGGGCCCCACCTGGCGCGATGCAGCGCGGGCCGTGAGGTCTCGTTGTACATGTCATAGTACTCGGAGGTTTGCCTGGTTAAAAGGCAGAGCCTCCAGGACTTACAATGACTTAAAGCATCAAATATGGGGTTAACAGAACAGGAAGTTTATAGGAATTTAATTGGGCATTTTGGAAGTAAAAAAACATTAAGAATTGGGGTTTAAGAACAATAGGGGTTTTGTGAAAATATTATATATATATATTTTAAGGGAAAACGTGGGGAATTGGGACCTTCGCTTCAAACATTCGCGGATTGTGGACGGCCTGATTCTGACATAGCTAGATTTCATCCAGTTTCTAAGTGGCTGACCCCGAAACAGTGCACCAGCACTCAAACAGCCTTGATTCTTTTAAAAGTTGACATTCGTTGAATCCCAATGTTTCACCATGTTTTCCCCCAATGTTTCACCATGTTTCTCCCCGGATGGCTCCAAACCTCCCATTTGTTTCAGAGCAAAAACATCCGAGGCACGACATCATCGAGGTTCGCGAGGTTCGCGAGGTCATCGCCGACATGGCCCCGTCGTCGTCTCGGAGACTCCAATGCTGTCAAGGGTGACAAAAAACATGGGTGTTTAAGGGAAAATCCACAGGAAACCATACTTTTTCCCATTGAAAATATCAAAATCATGGGGTTTTCCTGTAAATTTGTCCCTTAAACCCATCGATTTAAGATGATCTCCTTATGGCGTCTGGTTTTAGTATGTCACCACATAAAAGTCATGGGTTGTTACTTGTTACCATTCTTTTGGAGTAGCCAGCAAAATTTGGCAGTGTAATTCACCACAATTGGGGAGATGTAATCAACATGATGTGCATTGTATCCATAATAACTGGAATAACAACACTGATGGGGGCAGATTTTGTACATATGTATATGTATATACATAGGTAATTATATATATACATATGTATAGACAGAATCAGAAGCAAACATGAAGGTTTAAACAAGATTAAGATGTGGCTATGAAACCTTCGGTGCCAGGCCCTTGAGCAGGCAACATCTTCGTGGGGAAAGCCCATGGGATAACCGTAGTGGCAAAGCCTCAACGGTATATCTTTCCACGGGGATCACCCTCTTAGTACATCACTGGTTTTCGTAACCATGGTTAGTTCAGCCTTTTTCTATATGGATAAGCCATTGCTGTTAGGGGACTTACGATTACCAGGTTAAGTGATTTAAGTGACTATAATGGGGTAAAACCAATGATAAACCATCCCATTAAAATCCATTAAACCTAACCATGACTGGAGGTCATGTTTTATATATCCCAAAATCCCAGGGGAATACCCAACCTCAGCTACGTTCTGGGACTCAAACGTGGCTGGAAAATCCAGCCAAACTAAATGGAGGGGGTTCTAGCTGGGAAATTCATATCTGGTTGGTGGTTTCAACCCCTCTGAAAAATATGAAATTCAGTTGGGATGATGACATTCCCAACTGAATGGAAAATCATAAAATTCCATGGTTCCAGTCACCACCAACCAGTGATGGATTTTCCAGGCGGCCATGGGATATTCTGGGTATCTCCCATGGCTGCTGTCGAAGTGCCATCCTCAGAGCTGGACATCGGGGTATAGGACACGTCCTCGTCGTGCTGTCCAAAGTCCACGGATTTGAAATGCGCACGCTGACTGCGCGACGAAAAACCAATGCCGTGGGATTATGTGGATGTGGGGATAATTTCAAAGGGAAATCATCTATATCAAGGGATATTTCATGGGAGAATGGTGATGGGATATACTGGGGTATCATGGAATATAATGGGATTCAATGGGCTTTAATGGGATTTAACTAGCAAATATGTGAATATCGTGGTGATGTAAAAAGATTTAATGGGATTTGACTCTGACTAGCAAGTATGGGAATATAGTGGGAATACAATGGGATATAATCTGGAATACAATGATCTAACAATAGGCTATTTACCCTAATGTACCCTCCAGTAATTTAACAGCTTGCATGGTATAGATGGTCCATCAATAGTTGAGTCAAGAATAGTGATGTTCCATTGCTAAGTCTGAAGTTCAATTACCAAATGGTAGATGTCATTTTGAGCCATTTACACTAATGTAAAAAAAACAAACAAAAATAGAAAGAGGGCCACCTACAAGTTGTTTAGGAGGATTTTAACGTTCTAACTTTTAAGGGTTACTATAAGTCTAACGTTCAGCATTGATCAAATTGAAGTACTAGTGGTAATTTACACTTGGTGATCAATTTCTGGCTGGAAAAGAGAGGTGCCAACGTCGATAGGTCTATGTATCATACGTCAAGTCCCATCATCTGTAAAGGTTTAGCGTGTATCTGTGATAGTCCAATATCATTTGATTTAGGATGGCCCTGAGGTTCAAACTGGAAGCCAAACATCGTCACTTCTAGGAGTCATTTTTCATCATTTCAGGTAGCTTATAGATTCCATACACGATTTGGGACTACCCTCTGGTAATTTGTTACATAGCTATTGAACATGGCCATTTGTGTTGATTTTCCCATTAAAAATTGTGATTTTCCATTGCTATGTTAGTTTACCGGGGGGTATCGTTTGCAATACAGCTGATATGTTGATAGCAGCGCTGAAGATTCTCAACCGCCATAGCCCCAAATGATTTTCCATGTCCCGCCAGGAAATACCCAGTTGAATGGGAAAACCCTCGGGTTTTTTTGTGAGAAAATGCCACCAAATTGGAATTTTAAAAAAGTTGGATTTCAAGTTTGAAACGAAAATCACATCCAGAAAACTGATGAACAACTGTGGGGCTCACAAACCTTTATAGCTTATTAATCCTTTCCCCCTGTTACTAAACCCCCAAATACTAAAAACTAGGGTCCATCTCCCAGTTTGGAAAATTTCCGGTTGGCCAATGTGACTTTTAATTGATCCCTTTTAGAAAACAATTTAAAAATAAAGCTACCATTTGTGGGTTTCGCCCCCTAATGATAAAAACTAGTTAACCCCGGCGTGTTTATTATTAGGGTCCTTGATCCCAACCCCTGAATCCAAGCTGCCTGGCTGCTCTAGCTGAGCAATTTTTAGCTGACATGAGTCTGTCTTGCTGCCTGAGAGAGTGAGAGCCACCCCTCTGCCTTGCTGTCTGCAAGGTCTTTCTGAGCTGGCTGGAGTCCTCCATTGCTTTTTGGGATCAAGCAAACAGCCAGGCAGCTAGCCAGTCAGCCTCCGCGTCAGACACACAATCAAGACAGAGCTATGCAGGCAGCCCAGCCAGCAGCAGTTGTCGAGGCTCTGTTTGTCTGGCTAGCTGCCTGGCCGTTTGCTTGATCCCAAAAAGCAATGGAGGCTTCCTGTCTGTGGACCTGACCCGCTGGATGCTGGATAATTACTGATTCTAACTATCTGCCTCATGAAACCCTACTGTCAACACATGATTACTATATATACACGTATAATTGATTACATAAATATATATACATACGTACATACATACATACATATATATATATATCTCTTCATATAATGAATAGCATGAATTCGACTTTGGTTCCCTAAAAATAAATACCCCCCTAATAATAAAAACTACCTGAGGTGATGCCCACCCCACCTTCGCGTCTCGGACACGGCATGCTCCACCGCACCGGGGATCGACCTCAAAGTGCCAAGAAAAACACCATGTTTTGGGATAGATCAGAGTTTGGATTGATGGGACATAATTGACATAATGGTTCAAAATTTGTAAATCCTGGTTAAATTGGTTAACTCTCGATGAATAATGGGAATAGTATAGAATAATGGACAAATTGGGATACCCTTTGGTTATTTAACATAGTTATGATGATTTACCTATTATCCTATCTATAATGGTGATGTTCCATGGCTAGGTTGAATAGGCAGAGGGTAGATCAGACTTATGACCGGACCAATTTTTCGTGGATGTTCACGGTAGATCTACTGTTGACGAATCATCAATGATTAAGTAGTCGTGGATCGACACGTATCATATGTGCAAACATCGGGCAAAATGAGGATATGAACAATTACCAGTCAAAAAACGGTGGATAAGGAAATCGAACAATAGTCATGGGTATTGTATGGGAATGTCATCATCTCCGCGATTTCAACACCTGGAATCATCCCTTCCCCCTAATATTAAACACCCCCGAAACGAAACCATGGGTTTAGTAGAAAAAAATCCACATAATTGGGATTACCCTCTGGTAAACATACAGAAAACTATGGAAAATCACCATGTTTAATAGGAAAAATCCACTATAAATCACCATGTTCAATGGGTAAATCCACTATAAATCACCATGTTCAATGGGTGAATCCACTATAAATCACCATGTTTAATGGGAAATTTCACTATTTCTATGGTCATTTTCAATAGCAAACTGTAACAAATTGCTAGAGGGGGATGGGATCAAAAATCATGGAACTTGAGCGCCAAAGCACGACTCGGAGCCCCCAGGCGCCTGGGCGTCAGGTAGTTATCCAATTCATTTATGTCATATACATATATATATATATATATCATATATATATATATACATATAATTATATCACATATAATTATATCACATATAATTATATCACATATAATTATATCACATATATACATATATATATATATCATATTTATATATATATATATATCATATCATATATATACATATATCATATAAACATATCATATAATATATATATATATATGTATATGTATGATTGTATATGCTTGGAAGACATGATGGAATAAAGTTGAAAATCCCAAGCTCTGTGTGATCCACTCCGATCACAGCCCCCCTCACATGGAACCCCAACAAATCCAGTCGACAACGGCACCTCACACCAAACTAGTGCCCTAGGTATGTCAGGTATGTTAGTTTATAAATAGGCCAACATGTGTTGTAGATATTTCATGATATATCACGCATATGATAGTGATATTATTCCTATATTATCATATTGGTGATATATCAATATGTAATTATCAATATGTCTGGATATGTGTTTATCATTCACCTAGCTGAAATGTTCGGCAATGTGGAAATCATTTCCAGTGACTTCCACAGTGAGGTCACTAAAATCTATCCAGATAATCCCCATATCTCATTAAGCCTCACTAGACCACGGTGATGTGTATATGATTAAATCATATTTGTATATATTTCTTGGTTAAATCAACATTCATGCAGTGTAGTTGGATGGGTTGTAGACAAACTTGAAACTGGCAGTCCACATTCTGAGATTCATCCCCCGAGCCTGTTGGGTCGCATAGGTATGGACCCATCACTAAAAGAAACACTCTGCGGGTTGCGATTTGGAAATGTGTAACCAAAAGAAACAAAATGTTGCTGCAAGTCTGAGTTCACCAGTGGCAATGTGAGTCAATCCATCTCAATCCTGAACTCATCATGTCTTGGGCCTCAAAAATAAGTGATTGAGATTCAAAATGATTAGTTCAGGATTTCAATTGTTTAAAGTCAATCTTGCAGATGTGGGCCTCAAAAACACCACGCCCAAAAATGTCTGCCCCATTTTCAGACCATCTCTTGGGTGTATACCCCGTTATACCCACTATATACCTATTTCTGAATGGGGTATATCTCCTCAATAGCCAGTTTATTGTGGTTTACTAGTCTGGTTGGTGGTTTCAACCCCTCTGTAAAATATTAGTCAATGGGAAGGATTATCCCATATATTATGGAAAATAAAAAATGTTTGAAACCACCAACCAGTAATGTTTAATAGAGAAAAATGATAATCCGGTGAATTTCAGGGTGCCATTTCTTTCAACCCAGATCTTCCGAGAGTTGGGGATGCGGCAATGCAACATGTCGCAACTCATCGTTCAACGGAAATGGCAGGGTCTGATGCCATTTCCGACGCTTCGACCGTCAGCGAGAAAGGGATTTCTCGATGGCTAGCCCCACTCGTCAGTTTCCAGGATGCGACATTGCATTCTGGATGGCTCTCAAGAATAATTCTGCAATTGTGGGGCAACCGAACATTGTTCAACATGAACGCCCCCATCTGACAAGCTTTCATTGGCCTCCTGAACAGTCCAAAGTCCAAGTCGTGGTCTATTGGGGGCATTGGTCATGGTGTTGGTTGCTACAGTATCGTCCTAAATTGCAAATATGAGTTTAATGGGATTTGCAACGCTGGCCCTGAACATCACAGATCTGCAAACTGATCAAATCTTGAGTTTTGCCTATTTATTGCGAAGACATGGCTGCACCCCAGCAGGCAGGGTCTAGTGACATACCTTCTTACTCCATTTATATCAATTTATGTCCATTTATCGTCATTTGTGTAGCTGTTTCTATCCAAGAGAATTCACATTCATGCCCATTTTTTCGTCACATCATCCATTGCTAAACCAAAAATCCAACGTTTTGAAGAAACAAGAACAACATCCATTGACACTGACACTCAAATCATCCAACGTCAGGAAACTTCCAAATATATGGATTTTCCATTCAAATCCCATCATTTTTCATATTAAATCGCTCATGAAATCACCATCGATTCTCATGAAATCCCGCTAAATCACAATTTAACATTCTAAATATATGTCATATCAACATATAATCACTCTTATAATATATATATATGTATATATACACATCATTATAATCCCATTAAATCACCATTAATCCAAGGGACAGTGTTGAAGAAGACACTCTTCTTCTTCGTCCGCGCGCTACGGACGCCCTTCTCAGGCTTCTCAGGCTCAGCAAAGTCGGTTTGTACCGCCACATCCACGTCCTGGAAAAATGGCGATGGGCCATGGAGTTAGCTGGGCCCAGTTTGTAAATGGAATTTATGTAATTATATATATATATATGTGTAATTATAATATAATTCTATATATATATATATGGGGATTTCCCAAAATAGGGGTACCCCCAAATCATCCACTTTCATAAATCCAAAAAAAGGCCACCCAGCTATTGGGGTGCCCCCATTTTGGTAAACCCCCATATATGTAGTTAGTGTAATTGGGTGATATAATTGGTTTATAATCCAGTTTCTAACGCGCTTTGTTTCGCTTCTGGGGGATGCCAGCCATGGCGATGACCATCGGTCAATCCTTCAAACTCTGAGAGCTACAGCTACTGCGATTTTCTCAGCAAACATCATGCCAAGGGTAAGAAGAAAATGAAGAAAAATCATGAAAAAATGGATAAGAACAATAGATACGATACTAAAAACCATGTCAATACTGATAATCAATAAAATAGACAGTTGGGCTGAAAACACCTGGGTCCGGTCGCAGGACTTATCGCTCTGCCCCGCAAAAAACCGTTTTATTGCCTGAATTGTTCGCCTTCCCAGAACCGGTAAAGCTTTCGGGTATAGCAATCATCGAACAGATAGACAAGTAGAATCCTTCTACCCTCTGGTAAACTAACATATATATAGCTATTGAAAATGGCCATAGAAATAGTGGATTTTCCCATTAAAAATGGTGGATCTTTCCATAGTTATGTTAGTTTACCAGAGGGTATCAAGATTAATTATATGCTGTACTATCTTTTTGCGGTTTACTGCGTTAACTTTATGGAGAATACCCAAGAATGATCATGTTCTTGCGACGCAGATGCAAATTCATGACGTGCGTCGCCTTAAGCTTCGCTTTCCTCAACTGGACTTGCTGGAACTCCTGCCGGGCACTGGAAAATCCTCCAAGGAGGTCTGAGACCATGGGAAAATCATCGAACAAAATTGGAGATTTCCGATGTTTGATTTCCGAGGGTATCTGGTTGGTGGTTTCAACCCCTCTGAAAAATGTTAAAGTCAGTTGGGATTATTATTCCCAATATATGGAAAAATAAAAGCCATGTTCCAAACCACCAAACAGGTATAGTTTGAAAAAGGGCTGAAAATTCCATCATGTGGCACGCCCAAGAATTCTAAACTACCCCCAACTCAGAAATGGGGTGTTTTTAACATGTCTCAACCACAAGAATCGGAGATGAAGATTGCAGACAGCCTGGGATTCCAAAGCACAGGACGGTTCAGTTTTCTGGTGTTGTTTCGCCCTTGTTTTTGTAACCCGCAGTCATGCTGGTGAGTTCCTATGTCTCATGTGGTCCAATCATACCCCAGTCTTCGGCCAGCTCGCCATTTCATTGTACATCCCAGCAGGAATGACTTCTATTCAATAATGACCTACAAAAAGCAAGGCCAATTACACACTTGCCAACCTTAGACACCCTGCAAAAATCATGTTTCTTAGCTGCTTGGGACAGTAACAGTAGCAATCCAGTTGCTTTCCCCAGAACTGTTGGTTATGTCCCTATGAAATATCCCCGAATATGAAATTCCCCATGAATATATCCCCACACTTGTTACCCCCTGGTACTTTAACATAGCTATTGAAAATCCCCTATGAATTATAGGTGCATCGATCTAAATCAGCCACATGTTGAATTACCAGAGGGTGACCATCATTGCTACATATTATATCCCAGTATATCCCATTTTATCACAACGGTATTCCCATATGTGCTCGATAGTTAGATACCATTGGATCCCATTCAATGACATTAAATCATATTAAATTCCATTATATAAACCCAATGATATTCCCATTATATCGTGTTATATGGATGATGTACCTTTATGATATCCCCATAATATCCGTGTAATTAATCCTATTGTAGACCGTAACATAACATAACTATGGAAAATCATCATCTTTTCATGGCTAAATCAACGATTTCGATGTGCAATTTTAGCCAACCGTTAGTTTACCAGAGGGTATACCATATTGGCTGCTTAGTTCCAATCAATCCTAGATCGACGTAGCGATTCCGTAAACTCTAAGTAGCTCCAACTGGCTCCCCAGAATAGGGAATATACTGGGAGTATGAATACCCCTAGCTCCTTAGCTCCCTCCTAACCACTGGATTTTTCGGCTTTTCGACTTAGTCCCAGGCGAAACCTAGGTGTGAAAACTGTCAGATGTTTCGTACAGTTATCACAAATGTAAAATAATTTAAAAAACTATTCAGCAGAGGTGGAGAAGATGCGCACAGCATTTCGAATGAGCTTGGAACGCTCATTAAATGGAGTATCATAATTTTGTGGATGCTCAGGCGGCACAACCTTTGGAAAATTCATGACTCTGTCCATAGTTCTGATCACACCGGACTTCGTGCAAAAAAACTCGTGGACCATTTGCATAACTTGTTTGCCATGATTGAGAACAGGTCTGCTTGACAGCCCTTTTAAAGTCGAGGAGCAACCCACAAGGTTAACTGACCGTGATTTTTTTCGTACTTGCACAGGAAAAAATTTTATTGGAGAATGTTGCATCAGCCAACATAAACTCTTGGTCCACACTTGGGTTTGGGATCCCAATGTGACTGCTTGGCAATCTGCACGGACCTGCAAATCCTGAAGAACATAACACGGTGCCGTAAACCGGTCACGTTGAGCTTTTGTGAATATGTTGACTGGAGTACAAGTTCCTGTCGTAAGCACAAAATCAATGAACAATTCAAGAAAGGAAATATCGGCACCAGTCTCAATCTCATGCACATCCCATTGCAGCTTACGTGCCCAGTAAAGAATCCTCCATAGGTACACCGGCCCCCATGGATAAGCTTGATGCTGCAAAAAACTGAATTCAAACTGCAAGGTCTTTGTCTGCAAGGGTTCTTCAAGTCCTGGCTGATTGAAATCAACAACCACTTGTTTCTGTCTTTCCTTATGCATGGCAGTCTGTTTACGAAGGCATCGCTGACTGGCAGCTGCAACAAAGCTTAAAATTTCAACAGAATCCTGTCTCTGTTGCAAAGTTTGTTTGTGCATTTTTTCTAAGATTTGAAAGACTTTTTTGTTTTTGATTTGGATTTCATTCTTGGCTGTGGCGTCTGCTTTTGCATTTGCCCAGATTTTCCACTTTTCTGTGTCACTCATGGTGTCACACAACTGTGCATGTGCTTTCACCTTGGTGATTGTGATGTGTCGATCTTCTTTTTCATCAAGGTGCTTTTTCACGAGTCGCCAAATGTCACGGCATCCATGGAGATAGATATTTATAGTGTATATATATATATATATATTACATACCTATTACATCCTATTACTAAAACCTGGATTGGTAAAGTCTCCCGGGAGGCACGGGGTGGAATAGGAATTGTTGTTCTAATATGTTCTAATCAATTATTACTAATCCAATATGAATCCATGGAACAATCCAACATCAATCCTATATCCAATATGAATTCCATGAAAAAAATCCATCAATCCATTCTCAATCTATCATGATCAATCCATCATCAATTCGTTATGTACAAGTTTTATACCACTGCTACCCTCTGGTAATTTGTTACATAGCTATGGAAAATCACCATTTTTCATGGGAAAATCCACTATAAATGGCCATTTTCAATAGCTTTTTGTTAGTTTACCAGAGGGTAAACGTCCGGCCAAATCCTCCCATCGACGCCTGCAGCTCGTTCTCCAGCTCGGCGTTCCGAGTCTGCACATGTCGCAGCTGCACCTCAGGGGTGGTCTTCGAAGATCCCAATGGGGCTTTCCATCATGGGGGATCCCAATGGTTGGGTTTCATGGAAAATCCATTGGAAATCACAAAGTAAACTGGATGATCTGGGGATATTTCCATTTACTTTAGATGGATTATCCCCAGGTTTACGGAAAATCCCCAGGTTTTTGGAAACCGCCATTTTTCTGGCAGTTCTATCTTTTGGGAAAAAACCTGCAAAGAGATCTACGGAAAATCTCCGGAAACTATCCCCGCAATTCATGGCATTGTGGTAAAATTGGGGACGATACAAATCAAATCAACTGATGAACAGTATGAACAACAACTAGCTGCTAGTGTGAAAATCAACCCAGCAACGGAGCGGGATGGTTCGTATCGGTCAATACTTTGTGATAGTAAACTTATGGCAACTGGAGATGCTCACTTTTGGGAAATAAGACTGAGCCGGTTATCGGATGTTAGAGGTATAACCACCGCCCGAAAATCGTGTCAGTATTCAGTCCCAAAAAGAATACCAAGATTTATAATATTATATATATATATATCATATATATCATATATATCATATATATATATCATATATATATATCATATATATATATATCATATATATATATCATATATATATCATATATATATATATATATCATATATATATATATCATATATATATATGTATACTCATTTTATGCTGGAATAATCATCAGAAATAGCGATGACAAAAAAAACAAATCGTACCTAAAACCACCAGCCAGCAGCTGATATCAAGGTGGGAATCCGTCTTTGGGAATGGCATGACCTGGCTACTACCCCGGGGTAAGCTTTAAAAAAACATACGGAAATCCATGGTTGTTTCCGGTTCAATGGATTGGTTTAAGAGAAAATTTACAGGAACCCCAATATAAGCACAATATAACACATATAACAATATAGCCTTATATAGTTAAACTATTAAATATGATGAATAATAAACCACAAGCGCCGGTTTTCAGGCCAAGAAACCTCCACGTTTTCGCGGTCTGAAGCGCCGGCTTCCATCTTTCGCAGCTGGGTTCGTAGGCCGTCCTGACAACTCTCGAACAGCTGTCAGGTCCAGCATGATAATTCATCGGATATGTCATGGGGTTTCCCCATCAAAATAGGGAAATTTATGGATGGTTACATGGGATTTAGCCAACCAATAATCTATGATATGTATGGTTTGAATGTGTCTGAAAATGGAGTCTGCTGTACCTTCCTAAATGGCCACGTTTGACGAAAAATTGGGAAAAATGATGATTAAACATCAAAGTTGGGGATACCCTACTTTCAGACAAACCCAAGTTTAAAAAAATATCAGACACCAAAACTTGGAGTCACGCAATCTTCGCTGTCTTTCTTGGACATGTTGTTGGTACATGCTGAGGTTGCTGCTTGAAAGACATATCATATGGAGGTTTCCTGAAATTGGGGGTATCCCAAAATCATCCATTTTCAGACGATTTTTCATGTACAAACCATCCATTTTTGGATACCCCCACTTTAAGAAACCCAGGATGCCATTGGGTGCCTCAACCTTGTCTTTCTCAGAAGCACCGGCTTCCATCTCCCGCAATTGCGCCCGAAGGTCTTCCTCCACAAAATCAGCGGATTCCCATGCATTCCAAGTAGGCTGCGACAACCAGTCAAACCATAAGTGCAATACCGGGCCACTGGGCCACACATACAAAAACAAATCATATCCGAATCGCATCAAATCATAAAAGAGATTGTTTTACAAACCTTCCATCCTAAAATTTGCTGACGTCTTAAGTCTTGTTTGTCATGGGGATTCAGCCGACCCTTGGTCGGTGACCCTAAGCCAAGGCATAGCAAGGTTTTCATGGTCGGAAGCCCCGGTTTCCATCTTCCGAAGCTGGGCCCGTAGGTCTTCCTTCACAACGAGGCAATGAAAAACGCATTTTTTCTTGGCAGATGGTTTTCCTGGAAAAAATACGGATAAATAGTTGTTGTATTGATATTGATTTGCCTGAAAGTCGGTTATTCCTCAATCCATGTGACGATGATCATCATCATCATCATCATCATCATCATCATCATCATCATCGTCACCATCACCATCGTCATTCTCGTCATCATCAACATCATAACCATTACCATCGTCATCGTCATCGTCGTCATCATCATCACCATCACCATCGTCACCACTGTTGTCATCGTCATCGCCATCGTCATCATCGTCATCATCATCATCATCAGCAGCAGCAGCACCACCTCAAAAAAACAGTTCACCATGCCATTCGAGGCATCGACATTCTCAGCAGCCCTGCCATTTTATGTCTGATTTTGAAGTAAATCAGGAATCGTTGTCTTGAAATCATGTTTGGCAAGTCACCATTCACCACAAGTCCCGTTTTGAGAAAAATGAAACCATCTAAAAAAAAACGGAAAAATCGTATTAAAGCAAACGCATGAGACAAGACACGCAAACTGAATCCGTTTTCCTATGTTTACCCTTCTTTACTTGTCTGTGCCACGTGGCCGTGATTCATGATTGAAAACATGTCATGATGCCATTGGGTGCCTCAACCTCGTCTTTGTCGGAAGCATCTGCTTCCATCTTCCGCAATTGCGCCCAAAGGTCTTCCTACAGGAAAAGAAACCATTGAAAAGTTGCGATGTCTTGGGACAAGTTCATTTACAAAAATTGTTACAAACATGTTGTTTTTTCTGAAACTTCTTTTAAATTTCACACAGCAATTTGCAGTATTTTTTTATAGCCACAGGCAAGGTGTCAGTTTGGGGGACAAACATGAATAATTGTGATTACTTGATTTTGATTGTCGAAGGAAGTTTATAGAAGTCAAACTTCCGACTTATGGACAGAAGCACAACAGTGGTGAGACCAGTCAGAGAAGAGAAGAGAAGAGAAGAGTGAGAAGAGAAAGAGTCAGTAGAAGAAGATCAAGGTGCGCGAAATGACAGAAAGCACATTTCCAACTCGAAAGGTACAAAACACACCATTCTCGGAGCACTTTTGGAAGTTGACATGTTCAAGAATTGCACGCGGCTGTGGCACAAAGTGCATTTTGGAGTCAACATGTACAGAACACCTCAGCTCCGGAGCGCTTTTGGAAGTTGAGATCAGACAAAAAAGTGCACGCTCTGGTGGCGCCAAGCACATGTCGAAGTCAAAATGCTAAAAACCACTTTTGAAATTTCAGATGTGGAGAAAGTATACCCCGTTTTGGCGCGAAGCACATTCACAAGTCAAAAGTGTTAAACCTGACGATCCCGGACCACTTTCTGAAATTAGGATGTGGTTTTGCAGGCGCAATGGATTTGCACCTTGCCAAAAGTGAGCAAAACGTGAGGGTGCCGTAGCACTTGCAAAAACGATGGCAGGCGCGGGACGTTTGTCTCGCTGAATTGCTTCGTTTTCAATGGTGCCAACTTCAAATATGGAGGAAATCTGCCCGAATTTCTTGATTTTGGAGGTGTCAACTTTCATTTTTGAGGAAGTCTCGCAGAATTGCTACGTTTTGGCCCTGTCAACTTCCACTTTTGAAGGAACTCTTGCATAATTGCTTCCGATAGATAGGACGATAGATAGGTTAGATAGATTGGATAGATAGGTTAGATAGGTTAGATAGATTAGATCGGTTAGATAGGTTAGATAAATGGATTAGAAAGATTAGATAGATAGACAGGTAGATAGATAGACATGTAGATAGATAGGTAAGAAAGATTGACTGATTGATTGATTGATAGATAGATAGGTAGATAGATAAATAGGTAGATAAATGGATAGCTAGCTAGCTAGATACGTAGATAGGTAGATGAGTAGATAAGATAAGGTTAGATTAGATAAGATTAAATTAGCTTAGATAGATAGATAGATAGATAAATAGATAGATCGATCGATCGATCGATCAATCGATAGACAGATTGATTGGTTGATTGATTGATTGATCGAGTGACCGATTGATAGATTGATTGATTGGTTGATTGATAGACAGATAGATAGATAGATAGATAGATAGATAGATAGATGGATAGATAGATGGATGGATAGATAGATAGATAGATGGATAGATAGATAGATAGACAGACAGATCCATAGATAGATAGATAGATAGATAGATCGATAGATAGATCGATAGATACATAGATACATAGATACATAGATACATAGATACATAGATACGTACGTACGTACCTACATACATACATACATAACATAACATAACATAACATAACAAAACATAACATAACATAACATAACATAACATAACATACATACATACATTACATTACATTACATTACATTACATTACATTACATACATACATACATTACATTACATTACATTACATTACATTACCTTACCTTACCTTACCTTACATTACATTACATTACATACATACATACATTACATACATACATTACATACATACATACATACATAGATAGATAGATAGATAGATACATAGCATAGATTAGATTAGATTAGATTAGCTTCGGTTAGATAGATAGATAGATAGGTAGGTAGGTAGATAGGTAGATAGGTAGATATGGATAGATAGATAAATATATAGATCGATCAATGGATGGATGGATAGATGGATAGATGGATAGACGGATAGACGGATAGATGGATAGATGGATAGATGGATAGATGGACAGATGGACAGATGAACAGATGGAGAGAAGGACAGAAGGATAGAAGGATAGAAGGATAGAAGGATAGAAGGATAGAAGGATAGATGGATAGATGGATAGGTGGAAAGATCGATAGATGGATGGATGGATGGAAAGATGGAAAGATGGAAAGATGCAAAGATGGATAGATGGATAGATGGACAGATGGGGAGATAGACAGATAGACAGATAGACAGATAGCAGATACACAGCCAGATAGACAGATAGATAGACAGATAGACAGATAGATAGTAGACAGATGGTCAGATAGATAGACAGACAAAGAGATAGATAGATATATAGATAGATAGACAGGTAGATAGACAGACAGACAGACAGACAGAGAGAGAGAGAGAGAGACAGAGAGAGCCAGAGCCTCAACCACCTTTGGGTCCATCAGGGTTCGCTCTGCCATCCATGCACTACAACAACTCACCTCTCCTCCTATACGTGTCCTATTTTTGCAACGTCTGCCACTGCCTTGTGCGGCAAACTGGTATCAATTCACAGTCAGTCTAGGGCACCAGCGCGGTTCATCTACAGTATGTCCATCATCGAAAAAACTTTCACCCCGAACCTTTCCTACTGAGTCTTTTGAAGAACTTTTTCGGTGAGACCCCTGAGCAGTGCCCCTTGAAAAAATCCCAAGCACTTTGAAAGCCAAGAAACCGCCACGGTTTCATGGTCGGAAGCGCCAGCTTCCATCTTCTGAAGCTGGACACGTAGGTTCTCCTGCGTACAAAATTGCACTTACATATGCTCCTATAGGTACTCTCTTAGGTCGTCCTCTGACTCTGGCAATCTGACATGTTTGTGGAAATGCCATGGAATCTACATTGGTGGATGGTCGATGATGATTGATATAATTACCTCTTGAAATTGGAGCTCTCCCGATTTTCTGTTTTAGATCAGCAAAAAGCAGACGCTACATGTCCTCTCAAATTCTCTCAATAAAATAGGTCATGCACAATTATTGAACTGAATGTTGTTGCATGTTGACATTTCCGGATTGATGAAGCTAAGTTCACATCGCATGGCTTCTCAGCATCCCCAGATCTCAAAAATTTCTCAACAATCCAGGAATGGTTCTGTTGTAACAGTAGTTCCCTGCCAAATCAGCATTCAAGAAAAAGGAAGGAAAAGCCCGGTAATAAGCAAAAGAGCACTCTTCAACATCTTTGCACCGGGTATAGCACATTGTGGGAAGAAACGTGAACAAATATTTTGAAAAAAAATCATGGGACGCCTTCACAATAGCACCGTTCCTTTTGTATTTCTCAGACATGTCTGCGCAACACAAGGTTTTTCACGATTGATGGAAGATTTTTCATGATGCCCTTTGGTGCCTCGACCCTGTCTTTATCGGAAGCGCCAGCTTCCATCTTCCGCAATTGCGCCCGGAGGTCTTCCTGCAGGAAAGGAAATCATTGAAAAGTTGCGATATCTTGGGATAAGTGTGGTTACAAACATGAGCCCTTCAAAAACTTCCCCCAAATTTTACACAGCAACCGGTTATACCTGTTCAATCCTTTTCATAGCCACAGGCAAGGTGCTTGTCAGTCTGGGGACAAACATGATTAATTGATATGGATTATATTAATAAATAGTCACTCCAGGGCCTAGGGCACCAGCGCGGTTCATATACAGCATGTCCAACATCGGAAAACCCTTCACATCGAATCTTTCCTACTGAGTCTTTTGAAAAACTTTTACGATGAGACCCCTGAGCAGCGCTAAGAACTTTGAAAGCCAAGAAACCGCCACAGTTTCATGGTCGGAAGCGCCAGCTTCCATCTTCCGAAGCTGGACACGTAGGTCTTCCTGCGTACAAAATTGCACT